TGATTGTACAATAAAAACTGAGTTTTTGTGATTGTTGAAGTGTCTGATTCCAGTAAGAGACGTATTTATTTTTCATTATGCCGATATACCTATTAACTATTGAGTCACTCAATGAATTACAGGAAAAGTCATAGTTTAGATCATAGTAGTCAACCATTTTCATGAGATTAGAGTAAAAGCTAGTTTTTCCGTTATGATGAAGGTCAATTGAAATTTGTAAGGCCTGTTTAACTGTAGAATCTTCATCCTTACCTCTCAGATAGTCTAAATAATTTAGAATCTTTTTATTTATATCAATGATCATGGGAAATTTACCGAGTTCAGCTCTACAAGCAATGTTGGATGCCTTGTTATGTACTTGTAAATAACGTTTACAGAATTGCAAATGGCTTTTTTCAATTGCAGAGCTGTCCCAGGACTTAAAATCTGATTTAACAAAAGCACCCCAAACTTCGCTGTTGTAGGTTAGAATTGGTGAAATCATAGAGTCAAAAATTTTACACGCAAGTGAGGGCTTAAGATTATTCAAATCCGTGTGTCGCCTGAGGCTGAAGAGCGCGTGAAGAGCTTTTTGTCGGAGATGTTCAAGCGAAAGTGTAAAATTTCCGGAAGATGTAATTCGAGTTCCTAAGTAAGTATAGTTTTGGACAACGTCGATTACTTCATTGCCTATGCGGAAGTTATGTTCACATTTTCGTGTGCATCGTTGAAAAATCATTATTTTGGTTTTCTTAGGATTTATTCTAAGCATCCATGAGTTGCAATATGAAGATAGTACGTTAAGGCAGTTTTGTAGACCAAGTTTGGATCGCGATAATATTATCAAGTCATCTGCGTAAAGGAGAGAGTTGAGTCTGGTGCCATTTGGTAACACGAAGGGTCTGATAAAACATTGTCAAATGAGAACGCTAGATCGTTAAGGTATAAGTTAAAGAGCAGAGGGCTTAAAATGCAGCCTTGCCGCACTCCTCTTGCGTATTGAAAAGATCGCGTTTTGTTATTTCCAATCCTGACAGAGCAGGTAGACTTCGAGTATAGACTCTTAATTAGACTATAAAACTTTCCTTGGACATTGATCTTAGATAACTTATAGAGAAGCCCATCATGCCAAACCGAATCAAAGGCTTTCCTAAAGTCAACAAAACACGCATATATTTTCTCCTTGTGACAATGGACATATTTGTCTATTAATGTTCGAAGTGTGAAGACATGATCTGCTGTTCTATTATTTGCTAGAAAACCAATTTGAGACTTGTGAAGTATATTATTTAAGTCAACGTGCTTTAGAAGTCTCTGACTGAGAATTGAACAAAATAGTTTTCCAATACAACTGGAAATACAAATTCCACGGTAGTTTGATGGATCGCTTTTAGCGATCCAAAAGGCAGATGAAAAGCTATACAAATGGTGCTAAAAGTTATTGAATGACCTGATAAGGTAAGCACAAAAAGAAAAGGGAATTGCAAGTCAGCCTACCTCTGAAGAAAAGTCCACATACTCAGTTACATTCAGTGATCATTGCATCTTTCCAAGTTAATAGGCCATGTTCACGATGACGACATTTGACTACAACTACCAGAATTCATTTCGCTTTCGTTTTCTTGTTAAAATTTGTCAATCCTGCAGAGGTTTAAAAAACAACTATTCCTCGAGCCCGAATGGGCTCTGAGTCAATACCCCATGAGGCCGAAGGCCGAATTGGCTATTGACTCAGAGGCCAGGAGGGCGAGAGGAATAATTGTTTTAGTAAAATCCAACTAGTTGGTCAAAAATATCGAGAATAAAAAAAATTAGCTAGTTAAAGCTAGACTTTAATCCTTTTTTGCGCCAAAAAGCGCGCGCTTTTCGCTGCTAGTAGGCTATAACATATAGCCTAGTAGTAGCTCAACCAATCAGAACGCAGCATTGATAATAGACCACTAGTTGGATTTTACTGAAAAACAATAGCCTTAATTTGCACGAGAAAACAACAAACTGAAGGAGTCTGGTAGTTGTAGTAACATATTCTCACTGCATACTCATTACCTCATCACGAAATATCGAGTTATGGGAAAGTATGCGACTGATGAGGCAATAGGCATGCAAGGAGGAAACTTTAAAAAACGCAGAACTTGTCAACCGCCACCAGGGGAGGTGGGAGGGTCGCGAAAGGTGAAAGAGTTCCCGGAGAACCGACCCTTAAGATGGCCACGATTTGAATGAAACCGCCGAATTTATACCAGCGGAGCGCAAAGCATCATGATCACTACAGGCGTGTACCGACAAGGGAGAATGCGAACGGATCACACCAAATTACGCTTCGAGCTAATTTATTATGCAATGGGAATAGTTGATTTTACTTTCTCTTGGACATGATTTGTATGTCAATGGACATGATTTGTATATCAAAAAAAGCGATCAATTTTCATCGATCCATTTCAATAAAAGCAAATGGAATCACTTCTCACTATAGCGGACAACCTCAAACCTCGTCGTACAACCAGGGGACTTACATTCAGGGGTTTTTACAACAAGGAGTCTTAAAACCATGGGTTCTTACAACCAGGGGTCTTACAATTACGGGTCTTACAACCAGGGTTCCTAAAACCAGGGGTTCTTACAACCATGGGTCTTACAACCAAGGGTCCTACAACCAGGGATTCTTACAACCATGGGTCTTACATCCAGGTCTTTTTACATCCGGGGGTTCTTACAACCAGGGGTTCTTAACCCCAGGGGTCTTACACCTAGGGGTTCTTACAAGCAGGGGTCTTACAACTAGGAGTCTTACAACTAGGGGTCTTACAACTAGGGGTGTTACAACCAGAGGTCTTACAGCCAGAAGTTCTTACAACCAGGGCTATTACATCTAGCGGTTCTTACAACCAGGGGTTGTCTTAAAACCAGGGGTCTTACAACCAAGGGTTCTTACAACCAGGGGTCTTGCAACCAGGCGTCTTACAAGCAGGGGTACTTACAAGCAGGGGTTCTTACAACCAGGTGTTCTTACAACCAGGGGTTCTTACAACCAGGGGTTCTTACAACCAGGTGTTCTTACAACCAGGGATCTTACATCCAGAGGTTCTTACAACAACAATATAAGCTTTATTTGCATGACTATAATTATGTAGTTAGAGTATTGCAAAAGCTTTAACATAAAAACAAACAAACAAACAAACAAACAAATCATAACAATGATAATGCAGTGCAATGATTACTATAGTCGATCAAGTGTCATCAGCATGATTTGATAACAAATTATTACGTAAATCATTACATAATGAGACAAATTTCAACAAATGTGAATTTACGGAAAAATTCTGTGAATTCATCAATTTAATTATTAATTCTGTGTAAGATAGCTGATTAAAGCCGACAATTACTTGATCATTAAAGGTTTTTAAGACTGTCTGAAGACATGTCAAATTTTCCATAAAAATCTTTCAGTAGGTAGTTTTAAGACAAACTTCTTCACTTAGAAATCGATAAAAAGATAATCTGAGGCTATTTTGTGATAAAGTAAGCAATAGACCTCTTGAGGCGGTACGTTTTTTTTCCCAATAGCGGTCCCAGGGAAACCTGACCCTTTGTCTGTTCATAAATTATGCGCACATATGCACGTGAACAAGACGAAATTTGAAAGACGCAGTTCTTTAGAGTATTATCACATAACCTGTATTGGGAAAATAAAGTATACAAGCTAAAAAGGTGTATTTCGTACCTTCTACTAATTTAGCAAATTTCCAAGATGGCGGACCCTGCCATGTGGTTGCTAAATTCATGATGGTCTGGCAGGGACAAGGGCTCAAAATGCATTGTGGTCCAAACAAACCACTGCGATTACAAGTAGAAAACACAAAAACAATTGATTTTTTCGAGGTAACTGGATTGCAAACATAAAAGAAAGGCATTTTCAATTGACAAATTATTGGGAATGGGATTTAGTTAAGGTTTCCATAGCAACGGTTACGAAAGCTGGGTACATAAACATGAAACTGTTTAAAATATGACAAAATAGTAATTTGAGGTACATTTTAAAAAGATTCTATCAACTTTGGCGAGTATTTCGTGATTTCTCTTAAGTATATATCTCACTTTTATTTACAAAGCGAAATGTATCCTCACACTCCCCCTCCCCCCGTAAAAAACTTGCCCTATCTCCCTTATGTACCAGTTTCCGTCCTGGTAACAAGTGGATTTAGGAACTTCAGACCTTCAGCCTATTTGATACCAATTTCACTAGGATTTATAGGGCTGCTAACAAAATCCATTTTTATTCCCGTTTTGATAATTGGCTTATTCACCCCCCTCATCGGGAGAAATGATCGCACATTTTCGCATTATTATGGCGTACTGTTCCAGAATAATAATAATAATAACATTGTCAAATTTGATAGCTATTAGCTATATAAGAATCAGATAGCTATTAGCTGTATAAGCTAATTGGGTCCACTATGAAGTAAAAACTGATTTATCTCCTCTGTGTAGAGCCATAAACTAAAACAATAAGAATTAAAAAGCAAGAAAGATTTAAGAGCTACATAAGATGCATTCCGACCCACATTTCTCCTAATGAATGAATACTCCGTGAAAGCTGCATAAAAATAACTAACTTGACAATAAATATTCTTACCTTGAAAATAAAATATACTTGTCTTGCATACAAAAGAATTTATTGTTGTGGTATTCTTTCTCAGCTTGCCGGTGAGATTAATTTTATCAATCATTTATAAATAATTTCCTAGAAACACACATACTTTCCTTTCTATAATCTACTGAAAAAATTACGCCATATTTATGCATATAAACGTCACATGTTCTCTGGGCATTAATAATGATAATCAGTTGCTGTTTTGTTTATAACGCGTGACTCTATTTGGTAGCCTGCGTGCAGACGATAACTAAACAGAGTTTAATTTCGTCTGCGCGCAGGCTATCTATTTGGCGAATATTTATAAAATAAGGGTCACTGCACACTGACGTCAGAGGATATTATTAACTGGACTCCCTGCCTCGGGAAAATTTCTTTCACTTTCGACTTCCTTCGCTTGCATCTATCTGAAGAAGAGCATCCGTAACTTGCTGTCTCAGTGGCTTTCTTGGAGTGAAGTTAAAAAGGGTGAGTATTGTATTGAGTACCGTCATGTTTCTATAGTCAACAGTACGGTCAGTCAAAAACCGTTTTATTCTGCATATTTAGCGAGCTGATTATTGTAATAACGAGAGCAAGATTCAGTTGAGTGGTCTATGGAAAGGTCTAAATAAGTTCAATCGGGGTCTTCGCCGAAGCTCTGATTTACAATTTGAAAGACACCACTGTAAAACAGAGAGCCAAACTGGACCTAACGTAATTTCAATTGCGCCCATTGAAGTGAAGGAAAACCTTCTCGACTTTGTCATCTTTCCCCACTCCGCTAGAATAACTTAAATTTTATGACGTTTGTTATGAAGGCCACTAAGGCCTGTTTCAAACGTCGTGCTACTGCCGTGCTAAGCTGGCTCGATTGTAGCTCGACTGCAGCACGACACCAGCACGACTTGGTTTCAGACGCCGAATTTAATTCAATCGAATGGACCGGCTGTTGGCGAAAACACAACTCAAAAATAAAGAAAGCTGTGGCTATATGGCCGGTAACCGGTCAAGGTGTTAAAAACACTAAATGACCTGCATTCCAGCATTTTCCGTAAATTTCACAAAATCGAAAGATTCTAGCTAATCTAAACTATCATATGTCGATCAAGACAAGTCAAGCGATCCTGAATCTTGTGTTTGGTTTACGCTGAGAAGACGAAACCGTGTTTTGTGACACTGGACTTTTGTCAGCTCGACTGCCGGTCAAGGTTTTCAAAACACTATTAAAATGACCGGCAGTCCCATATTCTCAGTAAATTTCACAAATCGAAAAAATTCAGCCGTTCTGAACTATCATAAGTCGTGATCGTGATCAAACCAGCCGGTTTTGTGGGATTTCTATATCATGTTTTTGTTGGTCTCGCGTTTTTGGATGTTCGTTACTATTTTATGTCCACTGTGACACTCCGGGAATCACTGTTCTGCCTTGTCTTTCTTTTAGCAGTGGAACACCAAAATAACGCTAACTCGCCGAAAACGCTTCAAAACGGCCTGAGACGCGAGCAAACAACAAAGAATACAACAAAGCAATAAGGTAAGTTGATTTTATTTAAAAAAATACATTTTTTCTCTCTTTTAAGAAAAACCGTTTGCATCCCATACAAACCTTTGTAAATAACCGTTTGTAACACAACACCGCTCGCAAGCAAGAGTCACGTCCGCGTTCATGAAATGAGCTTGGGCTGCCTGTGTCTACATATGATAGTTTAGATTAGCTAGAATCTTTCGATTTTGTGAAATTTACTGAGAATATAGGACTGCGAGCCATTTAGTGTTCTGAAAACCTTGACCGGCAGTCGAGCTGAAAAAAATTCCAAGTGTCACAAAACACGGTTTCGTCTTCTGAGCCCAGCGTAAACCAAACACTAGACTTGAGATCTATAAAGCATTTCGGGATCGCTAGACCTGTCTTAATCGACATATGATAGTTTAGATTAGCTAGAATCTTTCGATTTTGTGAAATTTACTGATAATATAGGACTGTCGGTCATTTAGTGTTTTGAAAACCTTGACCGGTTACCGGCCATATAGCCACAGCGAATAAAGAAACGGTTTAGCAAACTTTTAAATGTATTCTTACTAATGTATTTGTAATTTATGAATTGAGTTCGGCACGGCGGTAGCACGACGTTTAAAACCACATGGCACTAGCACGACTTGGTTTTAAACGTCGCGCTACTGCCGTGCTAAAGTCGAATTTAATTCGATCAATTGGGTTCGGCCCGGCAGTAACACGACGTTTGAAACGGGCCTTAGATTTCCATTATAAATTGATTAGTACTAATTAAGTCACGTGGAAGTTAGCCAGGGAGCAAGACCTCCCTTAACTTACGCTGCTAGGGACAGTTAATGCATCATTGGATGTTCTATTAAAATGCTGAGCCAGTTTATTTTTACTAGAGTAGTGTCTGCAATACATTCCCGGTTCATTTAATACGTGTTCATGCAGGAGAAGGCGTGACTAGGCCCTTTTGATGGTTAGCTCTGCTGTAATCATTTCGGCGCAAGAGGTGCCTGTGACATTTAAGAACTAGCTATATTATTCATTAAGTTACTGACACACAAAAAAAGAAAACTTCATGGACATTTACGTTTTCGTATCTGTTTGTGTTAGGGCTTGACTCTGTTTAGTGATCCGCACTTAAGTTAACTTGTTATTTAAGTCATATACTGATCATCAAATTTCCACAGAAATCTCAATCCTGATCCCCAACTGAACGCACGATAAAAACGAAATTAAATTGCCTATATATGTAAATGAACTCATTAGAAATCAGAGCCGTGACAACAAGAATTTATGTGGCTCCGTTAGCCTGAATTTCATCCGATTACTTCGAGTCGTTATTACTCCCTCAGTAACGTCTGAATCGACCTGCCGTTAATGCCGTCCAGTGACGTCACTCACTACCCGAAAACCGGGTAGTGATTTTGATTGGTTGATTGTCTAAACATTCGCATAATTATGTATAATTATGAAAAATGTTAGCGGGATTGTCGCTTGATATTCAGCGGATTGCATCCCTTCAAGAGCCATGATCCCTGGCATTCCTTCGTGTAGTTCAAACATTTCGATAAGCTTAATCTTTACCTTAAACAGCAAAATTGCCCTTGTCTTCGAAAGTGAAACGCTAAATTGAACAGCGAATGAAGAATCATTGCGGACAGTCAGTAGGTTTTTCATTTAGAGCCGCTTTGTGGTTTCGGCGGCCGTTGGTTTTGTTTACTCGAAGTTTTCTGCCAGTTTTTTTGCATGAATTAAAGAATAGAATAGAATAGAATAGAAA